ATGTATGGGAAATATGTGTGATATTAGCGCCTCCTTAATAGCAGGACGTCTTTCACTGAAACCAAAAATGCAACATTTGCAACCATTTATTCCATACAAATCCAAGCCCCAATTTCCAACCACCTCATTAAATTTCTGAAGATGAGCAGAGATATCTGAAACGTCTAGACACTATTTTTCATCGATTTTTGCTTTTCTTTCGTAGCTCCACTATCACTGATTTAATTTTCAAGACCTATAAAGCTGTTTGGATCCTAGCATACTAGCCACCTTGTGCCTCAATGTCATACGTTCCAAGTTATAAAAGGGCTAAACATTCGGGAACAGACAATAGACAATCAGGCCTTAATCACTGTCTTGGTAAGTAGCATCCAGATGTCTTGCCACTGCTCGGTACGTGTGACCAATGAATATGATTGCTTAGAAAGTATAAAATCTATTCACTCGACTCCGTAAACCATGGAAGTTTCGCAATTACGAAAATATGCGGACTTCATTCAACACGTTTTTGTTGTTTAAAAATATCTCTATAACACAAATCGATGTTATTAATTTCTGGCACAAACCCCTGTTTTAATCTAATTACCAGTATACTATAGGCTAATTCTACTTCATTGGCAGAGGAGTAATGAGCAGAAAACACATCTAAAACATTTACAAACTTCGTTTCCGGATGTTTCTCATTTTCTCATAACCGTATTACCATGCACATTCAGGAAGCGTTTTTGTGAAATTCAGTGTATGCCTGGTACTGCGTCAGTTTATCTGACATTTCTCCCCGTTATTATGCCCGAAAGAGTCATGTTCTCATCTATGGAAAGATGTATTTATGTACCTACTTATATCCAGATCACACACGCTCAAGAGCACAAATTGAAGGTTCGGTGAAATGACTCATAAAATTCAGAACACGATGTGGCTATTATAAACAAAATTGTGAGCGTCTTATTCGTTAGGTCTTAATCATTTTAATTTTCAGATATTACCGGGATCAGAAGCTTCTTAATAATAGAACGCCATCCACTGATACCAAAGACGCATTAACAGCCCCCTATCCCCTACAGTCCCCATCTTTCAGCCAAAACTAATATTTGTCTGGAAATGTTGGGGAGCCCTTCGATCATTATAAAACGGTTTTTTTTCGTTTTCGCTTCTATCGCCATTGAGCCGATTTTCAAAAACTAAAAACCCCGTGAGACAATGAAAATGTCAGTTTTGTTCTGGTTCAGCGTTGCAAACGAGACTATTTGAGTCATTGGAACCACCTTCTGACAATAACACATATAAACTGACGAAATACTGATATATTAAATCGTATCATATCACTATAGTTTGTTATGTTAACAACAGAGCTATCTTTTTTGTATAACAGCAACTTAAGCTTCTTGCTATTTCAATTCTGGGGATGCACGATGGTCGGGCAAGGGTGAGAGGGCGACGTGGTGAAAGACGTGACCCACAATTTGACAGAGAACGTCACGGTCACCACACCGTGGCAATATGACAACCCGACGCTATATTCAGGAAGTAGTGGAGTCTCATCTTATACCATACCTAAACACCATCCAAAATGCGATTTTTCAGCAATGTGACCGCATGTTGCCAGAGCATCGTTAGCCTTCATGGATCAACATTGCATCAACCGTTTACCTTAGCCACCACGATCGCCAATTGAACATGTCTGGGACATGATGATGTGGCAGGCTCTTGAATTTTCAAAACCCCTCACAGACTTTAGCAGCTCTTACTCATGAACTTGCAGTAGTCTGCAATGAGATACCCCAACAGGATATCGACCACCTTATCAGCACGATGCCCAGGCGTGTCAATGAGTGTATAAGAAATCATGGATCGTCAACACATTATTGAACCAGCTCTTGCAGTCAGTTGATGAATCAAGCTGAAAATTTAATCATTTTACTAGTAAGGGACACTGAACATATATGCCAAAAATTATTGAGTTCGGATAAACTTACGTAGGTACGTACCTTTTTTTGTCACTCAGTATATATCTGTTATAGTCACTATAATTGTGTATTACTGAACAAGCCTAAAGGAAGTTTTACATTTGTAATGGAGTATTATGATTAAACCTATCAAATGTTCATGTCATGCCATAATTTTAAGCTACATATTCGTTAGCTACATGTTGCTTTAATCGATTGTGTTGTGTTGCGAAATTGTGAATTTTTTATGCGACACAGTAATGTACAGCTAAGCCACGTCAATAAAAAGGTAAAATTAATTTTATGTGTCGTTTTATACCTACAGAGCAGCTGTACTCGTGAAAAGCATTTTTTTTAAAAAGGAGGTAAAGCCAACGTCAGTAAATGGAAAATGAGGAGTCTGTTATTCACTTGCGCACAACCCAGTAGTATTGGAACAAATGATGTCTTCTATATATTGGGATTGGGGAATGTTATATATTTGCAAGTGAATTCGTGAAAATATCCAATTTTAGGTTTTTGAAAAATTATTGATAAACGCTTCTCATGTCCTTAAAAATTATGAGTGAAAAAAGAATCACGCCCACAATTTCACTGAAGACTTGTCATCTTGTCGATTTTTTTTCAGGTTAAAAGTCCTTACGGGTCCACAGCTTCATAGGTCCATCGTCAAGCTCCTGGACCTCTTAAATATTTAAAACTCGTGAAGCTAGGTGCTGTTTATGACAGAAATCTATTTAACTTGGGTTAGCTGGTTTACAGCCTGCTACAAATACATTCATTTCTAATTCAAGTGTAATGTTTCTTAACATAATTTTGGCCGACATGGCGTCAAGTAGATTATCTCTAAGCTCCCCATGCAGTCCTGTTGTCAGTGTTCGGCTTATTTAAAAACCACCATTTGAGCTACTAAAGTGGGACAAATCAGCTCCTCTTAGATAAAAAGTAAAACTACTCACATGTAAGACAAAAGAAACAATAGAACAAATCAAAAGACATAATCGGTTCGAATATTGATTAAATACTTGGTCATATTTGTAAATACGAAGATACATTATATCGGCCGCATATCTTTTTAAATGACAAATTTACGGAAAGTACGTATCGCTATCAAAAACATTCAACATTTAACTTAACATTAACGTTTTACCAGCTTGAGTGCTAAGGATGTTGTGTAATGTTACGTTACGGCCCAACCTCGACACACGGGTGCGATCAGCTACAGCACCCAAAACAGAAAACGTCATAATTTTCTTAAATTTCAAGTTTTCGGATTTCTCAAAAGTACCAGTAACTATTACTGTATACATACTATTCTATCGTCGCTGTTTTTATGAAAACCCCTATGTGTTTAGAAGCAAGTTTTTACAGAATGACATAGACTCTTTTAAATTTAAAAAATGGGTTTCGCTTGCATTCATACCGATTTTTAGGTCCATACTGTCAGTCGTTTCTACAATAATTGTAGGACGCCTTTATGGTCTCCTTGATTTTAATAGTTTGCTATAGTTCCGTGCCACTGTTACAAATATCTATTTGCATCAAATTGTTCATGCTTTTGATTTATGTCATCTATTATATAGCCTTACAATTCAAAAAGAAACCATAGTCCCCCCAATAGGAGAGCGCTGAAGCTTACACGGAACATTGAAAATCTAGAAATTTCCCAGCCTTTCTGAAGGAGAGAAAAGACATGAAATCAAGGAGGCCATAAAGGCGTCCTACAATTTTAGGAACGATTGACGATACGGCCCTTAGTAAATATCTACAGAGTTACTAGAGCTTCTTTTGATGAAACTCTCCTACAACAGATCACGGAGTCCGTGTTTGACTACACAGATATTCAGAAACCTCCGATGTGGAAAACATTTTGACTCTCAAGGTGCTTCCGTCTTAATTTTTGTACAAAATACGGTATGCAACTATTTATTATCTTTACTAAATTCCATACTTTGCCCAGAACTGACCTAGCGACAACGACAGCAAAAGTAACTCAACGTACAAGTAACTTCTTCAGGCAATCACGAGTATATTTTGTCATTGTTAAGGATATACGTATGTTGTCTAAGTGCACTGCCTGATTTGTGAAATAGATTCAAACTGGGAGCAGCCGCAAGATCATCAATCTGTATTCCGGGCTTTTCTCGGTTAAAGGAAAGTAGTATTATTGTATTTCTGTGGATTTTTATAGCCACAGAAGTGGAGTTGCGAATGCAAGCGAATGTTTTTGATCAAATGGATTTTGTTAAATCATTAATGTTTGGTACTTTGCTAATATGTTACTAAGGCCCGATTTTACAAATGCCCGAGAATCAAAATGCGCGCCTATGGAACAAAATGGACCAATGAGAAGGTAGTAGCGAAGTAATGGATCTGATAAATTTGGTTGATTTCTTGGAAGTCTGTCTCAAACTAGCGAAACATATTACTCGATTTGTGTAAGACGGGTCCATACTAAACCAAAAATTTCTCATAAATCATCAACTACAAAAATCTATTTTTCCATTCGTGTCCGAACACAAAAGTTAACGCAAATTCCATCAACCAAAAAAGATTTGTGGCCTACTCGAAACATGGATCAAACCTGATACAATAGATTGACGTGACGCCATTACTGAGCATTTTATTGAATATAGCATTCTGATGCTGTACAAAATTCTGCAGAATAATTTTTTCGAAGACATAAATGAAATTACAAAATGCAAATCCTTTAACAAACATCGAGTAAATAATCGATATAGTTACCTTTAACAGGAAGATGTCGCGCACTCTACTGGACGGTTGAACGACTACACCACCACGCTGACATCCATAATTATGTATGGATGTCATCAACTTCTAGGTTTCAGATTACCTCCATTGTATGTATCATAATATATATCTAACGCACTATTAACTGTTATGTCAGGCGTATTATAAGTAATACGACTGAGTTCACCTCGTAGGATTGTGAAACAGTCGCGCTCAGATTATTTCTAACAATAAGCCTGGCAAGGTCCTAGCGCACTATAATACACTCATCAAGTTGTAAGATTTATAATTATGTGTTTCGTTTTACTTCACATATATAGTCAACGCCAAACAAAGTGGCGTGCACGTCATCAAGGTGGGTGTGTTGAAAAATTTACATTGTTGCCAAACTTTTTGTAAAATAATAAAATTTATTATTTACATATCTAGGTTTATAAGCAATAATAACCTCAAATGAGAACAAAAATAATAGTATAATAAAATTATAGATCTGTACTTGCATAATCATTAAGTATGACAATTATTGATCAGATGACACTATAAAACTACCATATTTAATTGATAGCTTAAAGGTACTGAATAAAAATCCAAATGGGGTCCTCCAAATTTTATGCATGGTATTTATTTTACAGAATTCATACAGAAAAATGCATTCTAAAATTAGGTAAGCTACTGGTGTAAGCTTTTTCTGTACAATAAAGTTAGTCGGAGTTTCTTTCTTCAGCGCTGTCTGAATCTGAATCTTCATCACTCTCAAAGTTGATTATTAAAGGTTCGATGTCTGGTCGATCAAAAATTCGTTCTCTTTCATACCATTTAAAAATTTCTTGCTCAGTATGTCGAACACTATTTTTCCACATGTCTGGGGTAACCGTTTGTAGAGCCTCGTTCCACATATCCAAACAGTCTTTTTCACTGTTACCATCTCTACCAATATGTCTGTTATAGTAACCTTTTGCTATGCCCCAAATTAACTCAATAGGGTTAAAGATACAATGGTAAGGAGGCAGACGAAGAACTTTGTGCCCATGTTGTTCCGCCAATTCATCAATCACGTATATTTTAGGTGGTTTGTTTCTAAAAAAGCAGTTATTTTAAGAATAGGAATAAACAAAAGAAATATAAACTGTCGACCAAAATATATATAATTAAGAAGCATTATGTACCGAGCAACAATACTCAATAGCTCTGTTTTAAACATTGTGTTTAAAAATGGTATGTTTTGTCAACCAGTCTTGGATATTTTTTTTGTCCATGCATTGTTGGGCACTTTGTTCAATATCATGCTGTGATAAGGGGCGTTATCCAGTATAATCATAGATGGACTCTCCAATTTTTCTAATAACTGATGTTGAAACCATTTCAAAAAATTATCCTGGTTCATCTCTCCATGGTAATCGCTCAATTTTGTTTTCGAAAAAAATATCGCTTCACTACCCTCAATAAACCCATTTTCATTTCCAGCATGTAATATAATGTATCTAAAATATATTAGTTTTAAATTTTATAGTGCAAATTGTGTAAAAGTACATACCTTTTACCATCTGTTTTAATAGCTTTCACGCTTTTTTGGTTTCCATTTTGCCAAGAGCGACCTATGGTCCCATTTTGAAATATCCAAGTTTCATCGAGGAAGACAAACTGGTATAAGGCCTCAACCTTGGCTTGATTGTATTGCCTTAGAAATTCCACCCTTTTCAAAGCTATACTTGGTAGTTCCATGAGCCCTCGTCGCGGATTGTCCTTAAGCCACTTAAATCCAAGATCTCTAAGCAACCGCCTTAAAGACGTGGCACTACCATCAAATAATGCCCTATCTCTTAATCGAGACCATAAAGTTTGTATCGTAACTTGTTCTTCTGAAACCATGTGTAATATGACATTATAATTTAGTTAACAAATTAATGCAAATTTCTGATAAGTTATTATAATAAGATCTTACTTTTGTGATACATATTATAGATCACTTCTCGAATGGCACTTGTATCCAATGTCGCTGTGTTGGTTACACGTTTAATATAACTCCGCTTTTTCTTGGGCGATTCTAAATTTGCATCACTTTTCACACCCTCGGAAATACGACTAACTGTCCTTAAACTAATTTTTAAAGCAGCAGCAACACGCTACAAAAAATGAAATAAAATTTCACTATTATTAATATACATTACATATAATTATTAGTAACCTACCTCTTGAACAGCATTTAAAGGCAACAAAGGCCCGTTGTTGTCCCTTTCTTGCTCAAAGTAGTGCATTAACGAGGCCACGAGTTCCTTACACCGACTATTTAACTGTTTGGGCATCTTTATATACCAAAATTGCCTTTATCTACTCGTAAAATGAATAATTTTGTTTTGAAACAAACAGTTGTTGATTTACAGTATGCGGGGCCAAAGGATTTATAAAGATTTGAAATGCCACAAATTGATTCAGTGTCAAAATTAATACAAATGTCAGTTCCCAGTTTAAATAAGTTTCAAGGTGACAATGTGTCAACGCTGCGAAATCGGTTTAGTGCGTTTACATGTCGATAAGTGATTGGAGCGTTTGCAAAACATTTTATTTCGCATAATGCGTCTAAATTTATCAGAAAGCAACTTATGTGATATTTTAATAACAATGTTTATATGACTATTAACCATAATAAGAGAGTAATGACCATTTTACAATTTATATATCACATTAATATGAAACTGCAATAGAGCAATTGTTTGTGATAGAAACCTAGGCATTAGGTCGGGGAATTTTTATCGTGATGACGTGCACGCCACTTTGTTTGGCGTTGACTATAGGTAATCACATCGAAAAGGCCTGGCGGTATTAAAATACGACTGACTTTACAATGAGCTAGCGACATATACATTTAAATACCCGTTTTGACTAAGTGAGAAATTTAGAAGAAGATTAGGTATCATAACTGAAGAAAAAAGAATATAAGTGAATGTCCTACGGTGCTTTGGACACATGGTTAGAATGCCAAATATGAGATTGGCGAAAAGAATCCGGAGAGTGGGAAAGTTTAAGGAAAAGACAAAAGAAAGACCATGAAAGGATTGGAACGACGAAGTACACTGGGTACTTACGATTGGAAACCAGCAGAAGGATTCGCAAAAGTCAGAAAAAGATGAAGAAAAAAATTAAGAGCGAACTGAAGAAGAGTAGAATGATATCAACCTCTACATTATCCAGATCCAATAGAACAGGAATACGGATTAAGTAATTAAGCTTAATTTAAAATCATATCAGGTTGGAAATAGTGTGATACGCGTGTACAGTTTGACGTGTGTGTGGTACCAAATCATCCGTTTTAGTTGTCACGTTCTGTCTCTGCTTGGGACAGATAATGGATATCACATACCCTACGTTTTGTATAATGATTTGCTTGACAAGCGTCTATGCCAGACGGAAGAAATACTTCTTGCTACATTCCCAAATATGAAGTGGCCCTTCAATACTCGAAAAGATAAAAGCAAAAAAGATAATTTTGGGATATTGGATCGCGAAAACAGTTAAAACAGCATCAAACGTGTAATCTGAGTGGGAGCCTGAGAGTGCGTCTATGCGACCCAGTTAAAAACAAAAATCGATATCCTCTCATATTTAGAGTAGAAGACTATTCGGTCTTACTGTGAAATATAACTTCACGTAATCTTGTTATTCTGGCGCATGGTGAAATATTTGCTTCTAATGTACCAGTAAATTGTGCCTTGTTTCTTACATTAGGAAGTTTACGTTGCAAAGTTGACAAGATTTGAAGTTGTTATACTGTATAAAACTTCTTGAGTGGTGTGATTGCGATTCGAGATTGCAAGCTTCTTCAAACCTTGTACCATTTAGGCATTTTATCTTACAATGTGTTTTACTGCATACTAAAATACGTTAAAGGATGCGCGTCCGTTTGGAGACAACCAACGCTTGTATGAATGGTTTTTAGCTAGTCTCAACAAAACGTAGATTAACAATGGACCTAAATTGTTTACATGTGTAGTTTACCAAATGCAGTGCTTTCCTTGATGAGCATCTCCCAATTTATTTTTTGAATGGCTAAAGCTGGCAAGTTGGAATGCTAAAATTGTTGCATAAATACTGTATTCTGGTATAAAAGTCACAGTCAAAAATGTCCAGATGGCTAGCCGCGACATTGGTAAATTTTTAAATAAAAAGCAGGATCATGTGATAAAGAATTTTGCAGTACTTATTTGTGATTTATATCCTTGAACTGTAAGAGATTTTATCTTTCAAAACGGCGGACCTGTGAGCTTTAAAAGTTGAGAGTTTTTGAGAGAACTCAACAGTCATCAAAATACTGTACAGCAAGTTACATTAGTCTTCTCATTTGAGAAGGGCATATCCAAATATTCAATACAATATGGAAAAACAATTTGAAAAACTGTAAAAATCTGTCAACTCCTTTGGGAAAATTATGTCATCTATATATATCAAATACTAATATTTGCCAATTACTTATATTGATATGGACAGTGATAAATGACATAGATAAACATAAAAGTTCTTGCAAGTCATCGAACATACTTGTATATTTCACAATATGACTAGCATGGAATCTCTAAATGTCCTAAGCTATCCATGTATGGGCTTTGGGCTAAACGATCGTCCGAGTCGTAGTGTTTAGTTGGAAGGAGTATCGTTATTAATAGTGAGATGCTCAAGACGAATGGGTTGGAAATCCTTGTAAATAACTTAGTTAAACCAAAAACTCTTCCACGACATCATACTAAATACATATGTCCTTCAGTGGTCTAACCCATTAGGGTTAAAGTGGGCTTTCGTCAAATTTAACGAGGGACTAGGATTTAGAAATTATAGATTAGGTGTATGTGTGTCAAGTATCAACATAATTTTGAAGCTAATACACACAAAAAAATCGGTTGATTCGAGAACACAAATTATATTGACATTATGTCTTTGATTTAAGGTCGCGGTTACATAGAATGGAGCAATTTTGTTGTTTCAAATGATAGGCTTCCTCTGATTAAGAAATTATTTTTTTTAATATGCGTCGAAGCTAAAGAAAGTTCAGGTTGTTGAGTTTTCCGAAAGTGAAATTCTACTTTAAATAAATGCGTTTATGAAGCACGAGAAACCTCCGATTTTCTCAATATAATGTAGTTACTGTTAATTCCAAGTAAGTCTTCTTGGTGCATAGTATAGATGCCACAAACAACAAGTTAAGTATCAGACTACTTGATTATATGATTATTTCTTGGTTAAACGGTTAATAACTAATTTTTCTGTCCAATTTAAATTATCAAATTACAGTGATTTTGCAGCATGGTAGATTGAAGTCAATCATTTATAAGACTAAAGGGCAGGATACTGGAAAAATATCAGGTTTGTCAAACTGATTCTAGTTTCTGAGATAAATACTATCAACTATTTTTTTACAAAAACTGAACAAAAATACCAATTCGTATTGAAAAAAAATTTTTTTGTTCGCTAGTCCGAA